ATTATTGTCACTTGTACTGAAAATACAGTGAAAAGTATCTGCTCTACGGGCAGATCGGACCATACAAATTGCAAAAGGTAGCAGAACGGAGTGCAGAATACAATGTTACAGCTGCTTGGAGCTGCAGAGCTAGTGTAGGCAATCAAAATATAACAACACAATTTCGTTTCCAACCAGCGTTACTCGTCATTTTGAGTGGACCTTGCTACCATTGCCCACACCCTGGAATTCACGGTCTTCCTTGCATCATAAAAGATGGCTAAATAGAAAAAAGAAAATGCAGAGCTTGTATTTTGAACCATCATTAAGGTTAGGCTGAAATTTCCCCCACTGTGTGGAAGCCCTCCTTTCACATGCACCTAGGCTTCTGGCAAAGTTTTACAACAGAGTATCAGGGATTCTCAAGTAAACATTGTGATGTTTTTAAAGAGTTAGAATGATTAACTCCTTACTTGGAGCATGTCACTTTACAATATTTCCCTCCTTAGTATCCAGACAAAACTAATTCAAATTCTAAAATGTTTGTGAGCACATCTGATTTATGATACTCACCTGACTTCTAGTCTCTTTGTCATTTTATGCAATTGAATGAGCAAGTGTTGTTCTTAAATTCAAGTTTTCTCACATTAAGATTTATAACTTTTCATAACCAGAATGGGATGGATGAACATGTCTAAAAGGTGTGGGTCGCTGTGCATTATACTTAATGTCTAAATGTGTTGATATGTGCTAAATACAGCAGGATTTAGAAACTTGCAGGTTTAAAGTAAAATTTTAAGGTCAATTTGAATAGAATGGAATAGAATATCCTTTATATTGGAAAGTCGAGAAAATGAGGGGTGTACTGGGGAATGACTTATTCCAAATTTTTCCCCATCTGTAATGGTCTCTTTGTGATTTGTGACTGAATACAGCCATTTGTCGTTGGTTTCAAATGTGCAGGGATGCTTTTTAACCAGCAAATGCTGTTCAATCAAATGAAATTGTCATTGTCATGGTCAATCACTTTTTGTTTATCTACTTGGAGCATCAGTTTGAAGACCATTTTAAGTTTACAGCTTTGAGGATGACTGTCAGTAAGATAGCTGAGTCGCGTTTGACCTTGGGTGGTAACCTGTCTTTGCCCATTGCTTTGATTGCAAGGCATGGCCACTGTTGGGAGCAGCAAATATTTTGGTGATGGTGGAAAAGCTGAAAACTTAGAGGACAACAGCTCCTTTGGAAGTGAACAATCCTTCAGGAACATGGCTTGTTTCCCCCCTAAGTACACATAAGAGAAGCACAGAAACTCCTGCGTAAAAACCGAAAGAACTGCGGATGCTGTAAATCAGGAACAAAAACAAAGTTGCTAGGGAAGCTCAGCAGGTCTGGCAGCATCTGTGAAGGAAAAAAAAGTTAACGTTTCGGGTCCATGACCCTTCCTTGGTTCTGATCCGAAACATTAACTGTTCTTTCCTTCGCAAATGCTACCAGACCTCCTGAGTTTTTCCAGCAACGTCGTAGTGGTAGATGCCCTTCGGTCTTCATATGTCCCATTGAAAATGGGAGGCTTTTGTGAGCACCTGCCAAGGAGAACATTCCATGAGGTTTGGAGGAGTGAGCAGGGGCTCACCTTGGTCTAATCGCCACCACTACATTGCCCACCATCCTGCATTTAGCTCCAATCTAAAAGTTTAGTTGATCGGAGTCCCCTTTCAAGTGCTGTTTATGATGGGTTTGAGACCAGACCAGGCAACAGGGACATTGTGGTTCCTGTACAGACCTTATGTCTGTTGTCAGTGCTTCAGCTGTTACTACCATTGTTTGGACTGATGGAGATAATGGTCCATGGTGTTCTGCCTGAAGTTTTCACAACCTTTATTATAACACGGATTATTGGAATCAATTAAATGGCCTTAATTGATTGAGTTATAACACGTTAAAGCAATGATGTCCTGTTTTATGCATTTCAGTTTTGAAGTTCTGTTTTATGTCACAGACACTGGTATGTATGCTGTAATATGTTTCAAGGAACTGTCAATTAGACTGGAGTGATTTAAGCTAAACTTGTTTGAGATGAATTTTCTCCGTGATTTGGGAGTTGGGTTCATTTTTCCTCCCTACATGTGTTCTACTATTGTCATCAAGCATTTGCCCTTACTGAAATAAAGACAAAGTACTAGATAAACTCAACATCTGTTGAGAGAGAAGCAGTTAATTTTTCAAGTCTGATATAACTTTTTTAGAGTCCTTTTGGTAAACTTGTGTTTAAATTACTATATTGCTTTGTTTTTCTGTTTTATGCTTATCACTCTCTCCTTCTCCTGACCAGAAGATGAAGGTTGATTTGATCACTTTGCTCCCCACCTTTTTAACCCAATTAGAAACCTCTCCTTTTACAGACTTCTCATGGACCAGTTGGATGAACAGAAGGCACAGCATGTGAAAGAAATAGCGAATTTTCAAGATGAAGCGAGAAACTTTCAAGAGAAGCTGAATGAACAGCAGCAATACTTTGCTAAGGCACTACAGCTGCCACCAGAGGAGCAAATGGAAGTTGGTTTACAGCAAGAAATTGCACAACTTAAAAGCGAAAACCTGGTAATGTACAGTGAAGGCGTTTCTGGATGTCTGTTAACAATATCAAAGTTTAGGGTTTTGTATTTTGTCTTTGTATGAAAAATCAATGCTTTTGATTAATTGGGATTTTTCTGTAGCTAAGCAGCAACTGTGAAGAGACATTTTAAGATTTTTTTGATTTGCTAGTAATGCCCTAAACTGATCTAAAGCTAGCGTTTGTTGCCTTTGAGAAGGTGATGTGAGCCATCACCTTGAACTGTTTATGTAGTTATCTCCTTGGTGCTGCTACAGGGTGTTCTAGGGTTGTGATTTATGGCAGTGAAGGAACATCGTCATGGTTTCAAGTCAGAATGGTACGTATGGTTTGAAGGGAAATGTTGCTGTTAGTGGTGTTCCCTCATTGCCTTTTCCTTCTGTATAATGTTCAGTAGTTTTGGCAAGTTGCTACAGCTCATGTGGATGCTCATACCAACGTGATATGTGGCAAAGGCACCAATGTTAAAGGTGACAGGAGGAATGCTGATCTGGTGAGCTGCTTTGTCCTGGATGATGTTGAGCAGCTTGAATGTTGGAGCTGCTGTCATTCAGGCAAGGGGAGAAATTTCCAACACATTCTCTTGAAATGTGCCTTGTTTGGTGGGGAGTTGAGGTACGTTACTTATCCCACGAATTTGGTAGCTTCAAGAGCTGGGTATTCTGCGGCCATTCCAGTTAAAGTATTGCTCAATGTTAACTTAACTTGTCTTCCCCACACACATCCACCCCCCACTACCTTCAACCCAGTACAGGATTTCTGGGATTCAACTACAGTAGGGCAATTGAATGCTGAAGGCAGATGGTTACATTCTTCCATTTATTGGAAATGAAGGTTGCCTGAGTTTGTTTTTTGTGGTGTAGTTGTTACTTGCCATTTACTAGTATAAAACTAAATGTCCTGGTCTTGCTACGTGCGGGTAACAACTGCGGGTCACTAACTGAGGAGTGGTTAGTGATGCTGAACATTGCAATTACCTTTTATTATTACTTTATTATTTGAACATCTAACCTGAAATTCTCAAAGAGCTGGAGGTGATTAGACCTGGGGCACTCCTGAAGAACATCCACAGTGAGGTCCTGACCCAGAAAGGAAATTAAAGTAAAACATTTAAAACATCTTAAGCACTTAGTCTTATTTGACTGCAATCTGTGTACCAACACACAGATTAGTTACTGGAGGAAGACTTTTTTTCTTGAATCAGAGATAGTAGGAACTGCAGATGCTGGAGAATCCGAGACAACAAGGTGCAGGGCTGGATGAACACAGCAGGCCAAGCAGCATCATAGGAGCAGAGAGGCTGACGTTTCGGGCCTAGACCCTTCATCAGAAAAGGGGGAGGG